ACAGAATGTTTAACTAGTATTTCGTCATGAAATAAATCACATGAAAAAAATTGTTTTTAAGGTTTTATATGGTTTTCTGCTTTCATTGATTTTCGTGACTTATTTCAGTGTATTTTGCTGCATGACGCGCAAGGTGCATATAAACATTCGCCGTCAGGTCTATTCTCTAAATACCGCGCCACTTCAGTGCCACGTCTGGGATGCTCTGCCGCTTCGCACGCGCAGCCTGGTCTAAGCATTGGCCCTATCATCGAGTTTTTACCCCTGGTGATCTGTGGCCTGGAGTCCAAGAAAGCACACTTGACCTTACTCTCTGTGGGTGGGTAGGATGGCCCCCATTACTCAGCGCAGTGCTAGCCCGCACAGGAGTCTGTTGGCTGACATAATAGAACTGCAGAAATGATGGTTAGTGTTCTCCTCCAAGCACGTTCAGCTGTCCAATTAGGTTGCATTAGCAGCAGTTTCACAGGCCTGTGTTTGCCTTCACCCTCCTAGCGCTGGTGGTCTCCTGTGATGGGGGGAGTCCTAACTAGTGGGTGGAATTGGATAAAAAATTGGGAAAAAATCCTAAGCTAAATAAAAGCACACCATTCCCAAACAGACCAAACATTCCAGAGTTGGAAAGTTTTTGAGATTTCAAAAGCTGCGGGGTGAGTTAGTGGACAAAAATCCGGCAGAAGAAAAGAATATAAATCAGATAATAGTGTTGCAATCGCTAATTATTATTATTATTATTGTTTTTGTCGTTGTTACTATTATTATACCAATGAGACACCATGAGACTATAATCTAAAAGCTTTCTTTTCTTTGTTGTGTGAATGCTATCATGCACTTTGGCTTCTTGGAACCAGATCTTTGTCTTTCTCTCTCACAGTCTGTTGTATTTACTTACCCATTTATCCTCAGTTGTGTTTTGCTCACCGTTTACTGCTGTACTTGGCCTGTTGGATGGGTTTTACTGATTCGTCCTTCTTCGCCTTCCTCAACAGATAACATTAAATCTGTTTTGTCCAATTGAGTGCAACAGTAAAAGCAAATAAAGAATCCATCACAGGGTGATAATCTGCACCAATGTGGCGCAGCTAGAAAAGCTGAATGTTTAGAAAAGCCAGTCATTTCTCCATTGGGTGCAGGGCTACTTCTGGTTTGGGCTTACAATATCCACAGTATGGCAAATTCCATATAATCATTCATTTTTATACCCGTCTTCCTACTAGAAGGTCAACAGTGTAATGGGGTATCAGTATTTCTAAAAGCACATGCAGCTATGCTGCCACCATCCTGCATGTTACCTACAGCTAGGCCTGACTGGTTAGCCAGCACTGAAAGGCTCAGAACAAGATGGACAGTGTGAAGCTATGTGAGACTAGCCACTCTGTTTAAAGCGCCTCCACCACTTTATATCATTATAAGCCTGTTAACACAAGTCTGGCCTCCCTGACAGCTGGAATAATTTAATAAACCAAACTAATCGGCCCCTAATACATGTTCAGAGACTCGTCAGGCCTCTCCTAAAGTGGAATTAAGCTGGAGCTTCATCAAATAGCCATCAGCGGTGAGATGTTTCCCCCCGAGCTTGCCGCGACCTTTCTCTCTACTCACCCCCCATTCAGCGACGTATATGTTGAGGGGGGATGCCGATGTAAAGGTCATTTGGCAATGTCTCTTGCTTTCGCACACATCTATGCTCGTCTTCCCACTCTTTTTCTGTCACTCTTTTTTTCCACTCACTCGCTAACTCACACATACACCTACACTTTTTCTCTCAGCCTTCCTGAAATTTTCTTTCCTCCTTAAAGTACCACTAAATTTATCATTTACACCATTAAAAAAACTAGATTGAATAATAAATTGTTAAGTATTTTTTGTGTGTTATGCTCAGGGGACCCTCCAGGACCTCCTAATTGATCTCTTGGACCCCTAAATGTCTCAAAATCAAAAATTCTGGGGGTTCCCTGAAAATAATCTTTTTATGAAGTTATGCTGTTTGTTACTTGGCATCGCAACAATAGCAGAACCCATTCCTTTTACTAAAGAACCCTTGAAGAACCATCTTCTTTTAAGAGTGTAGCATCAGCTCTCCAAATGTCCTACAATATTAATATAATTAATATTTTACTCTTTATTATTAAAGAGTCATTTTTATTATCTTTTTTATTAGATGGCCTTGTTTTTGTAGATGTCTTTGTTTTTGTAATCAGGGTAACTTCATGGATTCCCATCACTTGGAATCGAAATGTCTGGAGTCAAACAGCCCTCCTGTCATCCTGTCAATCCTGTCATTAGCATATTTTAGTATATTGTGACACAGCAAAATAAGCTGTTAATTGAGCCCCACAAATGGCTCTTTTGTGGAAGTAAACCTTTGTTGTCAATGGAAAAACGTGAACTATGCGCTGTATTGACACAAATACTAATCTATACAATAAAAATAAACCATTCAAAATATTCTTGAGTCCAGGAATCTTTTAATTGTGCAGCACTTACATTCAGAATGTAACTTCCACACCACTGAAGGTGGAACCAAAAATACGAATAAAGATCTGGTGAATAAGAAGCCGATTTCAGCCTGGTGTTGTACTGAATGATTGCTGGGCTCTCTGTGTCTCACTCACACACTCACAACACACACACAGTCTTTTTCTTTCCTTTGCTGAAAGATTTATGGTTGCGATCTTCTCTTCATTTCTTCTCTTCGTTTTACATCTCTTCCTCTGTCTCTCACTCTCTCACGGTTTGTCTTTAGACTGCGCAGTAATGGACTCGGTAGCACCATTCGTTTAGCTTTGCGTTATCTGATGTGTGTGTCAGATAGCCGCTGAGATACTGGGCTGGTGTCACAGCCTAATGCCAGCGACAGGATGACGAACAGTCAAACCAGAGAACAGAAATAAGGGGAGCAGTTTAACTAAAAGGGGGAAATATCCAAAGCGAGAAAGCGAAAAATACTTTTTTTTTTATTTTTTAGTGTATTGTATGTTTTTTCATTGAGGTCCATATTTGACATTCGTGTGATTTTGTGTACCAAAAATAGTCATGATTAATTTTTACGTGACCATTTTCCAGCCTCTCTTTATCCCTTAGAATTAAACCATTTTTGTTATGGTGCCTTTAAGACGAATATATGTGAATGATGTTCTCTGATTAAGTGGTTTGTACTGGGCCTTGTTCAGAAAGCAGTCCAGGCTGAAACGCTCCTTATAGCTTCAGCATGAGTGGGCGTGGCTAAACTGCTGTAAACAGAATAGGTGGATGTATGTAAATGTGCTGGTTTTCATGGTTTTACATATCACTGTTGTCGGAGCAAAACCATCGTTTTTCAGTTTTTGCCATAATTTGAAAATGCCTGTTGCTCTTTACATTGTGTGTAAATTTTATGATGAATGGACCAAAAGAAACGACCCAGAATTATTTGGAAAAAATTCTGGTTCCATTGACCTACATTAAAAGTAAAGAAAGTTTTTTCCTTCTCCCGTAAAGTTACCATTTTGGAGATACAAGGTTTTGCTCGGACAGCGGCAATATATAAAACATACTCCAAAAAACTTATTAAAAAAAAGTTTTTTTTTCATGATATAGCTGATGGTTGGAGACCAAGAAAAGCTAATCTGCTAGCATGTCCAGGAAAGATGCTAGTATTAGCTTGGACGCTTTAAATCACTGTAGCCAAGAGAGCGACTACAAATCCCCGCTGAACCCCTCAGCCGTTTAGCTGCCGTCCAGGACTCCGTGTCCACGGCTGCATTATTGATGACACCGTGTTTGATACTGTGCATCAGTGTAGTAGCAGCGTCCAGCTTGCCAAATGGAGCAGATTGGTTAATAGGGGTCGGCTGGTTCCTCTGCGAGGAGCTATTTGATACCCCTTACCTGTGAAAGGCCAGGAGAGGAGAAATATGAAAGGAAGAAAGTAAATGGACACTCCAGGCCAGATTGAAAAAGTGAACCGCTGCATCTGTACACATGCCAGCTCGCCTCTTACAGCAGTGCCACAGTAGCCTCTAGAGTGGGATTTTCCCATATAAAGGCTAGAAAACCCCCAAGAGCGTCTGAAAAACTCAACTGCTTGGGGTGGATTTCCCAGAAATCAGATGGCTTACATGCCTGCTGTGAAGCTGGATAAAACGCCATGTATGTCTTCAAATCATCAAGAAAATAGAGAGAATGGATTATTGAGAGAATGGAAATTGCTCATCGGATAAGGAGTACATCAAGCTAAAAGCTAAGTTAGCAAGGTAGCTAACTGGCTGTCAAGATATCTTACCTCAGTTTGGCTTATTTTCTCTTGCTGAAAGGGGAAAAACTTGTCTCTGGCATCCATTCTGTGCTGAATAAAGATAGAATCGCTGTTTTCTTTCTGATTTTCTTCAGTAGCCAAGATAAGAGCTACGTTAACATTAGCCTGGTTATATTTATTAGCCTGTAGCTCAGTGGCTAGGCTAGCAGACAGGGTTGATTGACACCATAGGGATTCCCAATGGTTGTATAACATATTTACATGACACATGCTGGAGAGAAAGTTTAGAGGAATCATGAGAATGAGGTGTAGAGTTTATGAAAAAGCTATGCATGAAGGCTAACATAGTAATGGTAGCTATTTGGAAACTCAGTCCAGGATTGTTTTTTTGTCTGAAAGAACCAGCCGGGCCATTTCGCATCATAATCTGTCTGATTATAGTGTCTTTTCTTTCAAGGGAGCATTTGAAAACATTAGACAAGATCTGGCCGAGGAAAAGACGCATAGGAAACAACAAAAATAACTAAAGGCTATGCTAATCGGTAATTCCCATGATGAGTGCAGCTGATTCTGTAGAATAATCTAAAACCATTCAACATAAAAATCCCATTCTTGCAGCTTTTATTGGTCCATTGTGTCTCTGTAGCACCGTATCAGCACGACGCCGGTGCTCCATATGGTTCAGACAGATGTGATGGTAGCTTTGTGTCGTATTCAGCACTTGCCTGTCTAACTGTTGGCATCTGTTGTCTCGTCTCCGCAGCAGTCAAGCAAACGTGCCCACCGGACAAGTTCGACTGCGGTGGGAAGTGTGTGTCGTTGTCATGGCGCTGCGATGGCGAGAGGGACTGCGAAAACGGAGCGGACGAGGAAGACTGTGCTGCAGGTGAGTTCCTTCACCCTCATAGTTATTAGCTTAACAGCATTTCTCTTCAACTCTTCTTTCAAATCAGAAACTTGTATGTGCTTCTCGCCAAGGAGCTTCGTTACAGATTTAGGCCCAAACCCATTTCGCCTCTCGCCCCTACCACTTAGCCCTTACCCCTTTGTTTGGCACGTTCACATCTAGGGGTAGGGTGTTCTGATTCTTGTTGAGATAGAGGAGTAGGGCGAAGTGTTGGGGCTACATGGCCCTCCAAACAGAGGTTTTTCAGAGACTCCCAACAGAGAGTTATGTGTTATGAGAAAAAAAAAGAAAAACTGGCAAGATGGAGAACAAGAGACCAAAGAAACACACAAATGTGAGAATTTTCTCTATTAAAAATTATGATAACCACTGTATTATCTTAGTTTAATGTTGTTTCAATGTATTATGGTCCTTTTCTTCATAACAAGCATAAAAAATCTCCAGTAGTAGCTGATGTCTCGGTAGCTAGCTAAATTTCCCCTTCTACCTTAAATGGTACAACAGTTACATTCTGGCCTCTCAGGCATCAAAACTGCTGCATCATTTAAGGTGGAACAGGAAAATTTGAACAAGAATCTGGTGAATATCTGACTTCAGCTTCATATCACTGAAGAATTAGGGGTGGGTGATAATAAATAATTGCCCCCCCTCTTTGAAGGCATATGATGCCCTAAATGTAATTGAAGCCCAGCAGTGAGGAGCTGAACTTTACCCTCCTCTGCTGTCACTGCAGACTGGCAGGGTCGCCTACAGAGCAGCGCTAGTAGCTGTTAATGAAGTAATGCTCTTTTTATTTGAGGTAGATTTCGTAGAGGAAGATTTCAACCAGTACAGCTTGCAAGTCAGGGGGCAAGATGAAACTCTAAAAACAAGTGGTAGGAGTAAAAATAAGAAATAGGATTGGGCCTTAGAACCAGATTCAGTTTAGGCTGCGTTTACATTACAATGCAACAAAACAAATTTTTGAAATGTGTTTTTGGACAGCAGTGAGTTTATTAAGTGACCTCCTTTCGACCACTACCTCAAAACCATCCACTGAGGAGCCCAGGACTGAGATCAGTTTGTTGAGCTTTTTTGCATCTCCTCCTCTGATGCTGTGTATCTGATTTGGTGGCCTACCAGGTCTTCCAGGTGGTTGTTAGGAGTCCCATCTTTGCTTATTTTGCTTATTTTATCCTCAAAAATACTCCTTAAAAATGTAAAAAAAAAAAAGGAATGACTATTTTGGCCTGAAATTAAATATAAGAGAGGTGGTGTCTGACTTTTGAGCAGTGCTGCGATATGAGGTGGAATTTATAACAGGTCCAAAATGCCAGAACTCTGTTAAGAAGGTGATGAATGGATGCTGCTGTATGTTACCGTAACACTAATATGTGCAGTATGTTGATGTTGGGCTCAGCCAAATCACAAACCGACGCTAATCAGGTGCTCAGATGAGGTCAGCCGTGTCGAAACGCTGCGGATCGCTGAATCTGTGCGTTGCATCTGAGCCTTGGGTCTCTGGCAGATTTGCAGAAGCTCAGCTGATGCGGTGAAGATTTGCCATCAGCCAATTAATATCAGCTAATTAACAGAAGACATGATGAGGTTTCTGAGAGTGTCCTTGGCTCCTCAGCTGAAGGTGACTGACTGTCAGTGACTCTTCTTGAGCCGCTACTGTAGGAGAGGTGTCTCCGTCAGAAATGGCAGGGCTACCCTGACCAATCAGGGTTCACCGAGACCCCCCGCTGTGATCCCCCACTCCTGCCCTACTTTTGAGAAGCAGTGTGAAATTCTCTCTCGCTCTCACTCTCTCACTCTCTCACTTCAGCTTCAGTGCCTTTTCCTCTCTTTTCCTGTTTTCCCCTCGTACTGTACATCCCCCCCCCATCGCACGTCTTCTCACAGTCTCTTCCACCCTCACTCTCTCTCCTTCTCTCTCACCCTCTCTCTCACCCCCTTCTCTCTTTCTAGCTCTCTTTCTCTCTTTACCTCTCTATTTCTCTCATTATCTAACTTTTTTTTCTGTCTCTGTGTCTATTTCTTGATGTCCCTTCTATTTTTCTCATTTTTGCTCCCTTTCTGTATCTCTCTCTCTTTCTTTCTCTCTCTATTACTGTCCTCCACCCTTTAATCTCTCTCCATGTTTCCTCATTTCCCTTTCTTTTCTTCTCTCTTTCCCTTATCTCTCTCTCTTTTCTTTCTCTGTCTCTCTCTCCTCTATTTCTGTCTCTCTTTCTGCTTCTCTCTTTTCTCTCTCCCTCTCTTCTTGTCTCTGTTTGTCTTTCTTTCTCTCTCTTCTGTCTCGACTCCATTTATCTCTCTCTTATGTTTCTCTCTTGTTTCTCTCCCTCTCTCTCTCTTTGTTGCTTTCCCTCCCTTCCCCTCTTCCTCTTTCCTCATTTCTCCTTTTTATTATTGTTCTTTCTCTCTTTGTCTGTCTTTTTCTCTCTGTTTCTCTCTCTCTCTCTGTTTTCTTCTGTCTCTCCTTTTTCTGTCTTCTCTTTCTTCCTCTACTCTCTCTGTATCGCTCTCTCTCTCTGTCTCTCTCGCTTTCTCTCTTGCTCTCCCTCCCCTTTTCTCTCTCTCCCTCTTTCCCCATCTCTCTCTCTCTCTTTTGTTCTCTCTCTCTCTCTAACCCTCTGTTACAATCTTTTCTTTTTCTCCATGTCTCTTCTGGCTCTGTTTCTGTCTCTCTGTTTATCTCTTTTCTTTCTTTCTCTCTCTCTCACTCTCTTCTGTCTCTCTCGCCTCCATTTATCTCTCTCTTTGTTTCTCTCTTTTTTCTTTCTCTCTTTTGTTTCTCTCCCCTCTGTCTCTTTCTCTCTTTCTCTTTATAATCTTTTATTTTCTTTCTCACTCTCTTTCTTTCTCTCTGTTTCTCTTTCTCTCTTTTTCCTATTTCTCTGTTCTGTTTCTCTCCCTCCTCTCTCTGTCTCTCTCTATTGTTCTCCCTCCCTTTTTCTCTCTCTACCTCTTTCCCCATTTCTCTCCTTTGTTCTCTCTCTCTCTCTCTCTGTCTCTCTCTCTCTCTCTCTCTCTCTCTCTCTCTCTCTCTCTCTCTCTTGCTGTGGGGGGTGTCTTTGAAGATTTCTCTCTGCTGCACATTCATAAATTGTCCTCTATTTCAGGGCAGGGCAAAAAAAACACATATAAGCAAAACTGCTCCATATTGAGACATATTTACTCTGTGCTTTAAGTAAATAAGCATAAATGTGCCCTCTTCTCGTCACTAATACGTTTCTGAAAGCAAAAAAATGTACACCGCAAGTCGTAAAGGGATATTATGCAAAGCTCTTGAAATAACAAAGGCAATTAATTGCAGGGGCAGTTGGCCTCTTATTGACCAAAGGAGCAAATTCAACTTTTTCACCCTTCGTTTCCTTTTAAATACAGAGCTTAGAATAAAGAAACATCCTTCAGATTTATATGCAACACATAAAGCTTCAGCTACGCTCTGGCCGGGGCTGCTTTCCTTGTTCTTATTGTGGCATTTTAACGTCTCTCTTTGACTCTCTTTTATTTGATCTAATAACCTAAAAAAGTGAATAACCTGGCTGCCTTTAACAGATGAATTTAGCAAAACTTATTAGTTAGGTAACTTACAATTACATGAACTCAGATTTTAAGGCAGCCAAGTTATTTATGTTTTACTGTTGTGTGCTTCATTGAAAGGAAGGAAACTGGCCCTGGATGGTTGTGGCATCACTGAGGATCACACTCACTAACTTTTGACAACACTTAGACTTTCAATCGTGTCACTCAGGAGCCCAGCAGAGGGCATATTCAGTGCTGCCGCCTTTGCAGTACTGATATAGGATATATATTTACTTGATCAAAGTAACTGTACTTCAGGCTGTGGAGATGCCCACAGACCACAAAACTCCAACTAGGCTTCACATCAGTGACACTGGATATATTTTTAGTTGTGGACTAAGTGAAGTGCCCTGACTGTCCTCTGTGGTCAGATCCTGCGTTCTCATCAACTTATTGAACCGATGTCCTGAGCAATCTGGCCATAAACACAGCGCCACCTTCCTCCTGCTCCTGATCAGTATTGATTTCCTGCCTGGCTGCTGCCGAGTTATACAGCGCTGATTATCCACCAGTGTAGGCCTCATAACTCTAATCCATCTGAGTGAAGAACACATTTAAGGAAAGATGTTTGTTGCAGCGGAGAGAAAATTTTCTAAGAAGGACATCATGACATCACCAAAGGAAACAGAGGAAACTAGTTGTTGGAGTTTGGACATTTTTTTCATTCATGCCTGGTATAATATTTCAGCTGCTGAACAGTCCGGTGTCTCTGTTGTGGTGTATTGCGCTTCATAATACACTACATGTTTTCAGTGGGACATAGATGTGGACTGCAGACAGGTCAGTCTAGCACCTTCACTCTCTTATAACAAAGCCACGCTGTTGTAACACATGCAGAATGTGACTTGGCATTGTCTTGCTGAATCAAGCAGAATGTCCCGAGTTGGTTCTTTTGACAGGGTGGACTCGTCAGACCACAGACACACTGTACAGTCCATCTCAGATGAGCTTTAGCCCAGAGAAGTCGGCAGCGTTTCTGAATGTTGTTGATAAATGGCTTCTGCTTTGCATAGCAGAGTCTTAACTTGCATTTGTAGATTTAGCAACAAACTGTGTGTACTGCTAAGGGTTTTTCCGAAGTATTCCCAATCCCATGTAGGTTAGGGGTGTTCAATCCTAGTTTTCGGCCTTGTCCTTTACGGACAGAGATTTTTCTCTGGATTTGCTGAATCTTTTATAATGTTATGAGGTGTAGATGGTGAAATCCCTAATTTCTTGCAATTGTGCATTGAGAAAGATTGTTCTTAAACTGTTGGACTATTCGCTAATGCAATATTTCTCAAAGTGGCAACTGAACCTTTGTGAATGGTCCTTTTATACACAATTATGAAAGCAACGCCTTTGACCTTTTCACCTGTTTACCTGTGTAAAGATCCAGAACCGTTGTTCTGGAACTTTTTGGA